CCTTGGTTTGAAACCAGGGAAGGAACTCCTGGGAACTCCTCCCAGTTCTTCATCACTGTGGTGGTTCATTTCAGTGCCCCCGCCTGGACTGGCAGTAGAGGATCTTAGAGAGTGTTTGAACGGGTCAGAACCGCTGGCTGATGGGGGACTGGAGGCGGGTTTAAAGAGATGCTGGAAATGTCACTGAAAATGCTTGTTTCCCTTTCTTTTTCTTAATCATTTTATTAGGGGCTCATGCAACTCTTATCACAATCCATACATACATCAATTGTGTAAACCACATTTGTACATTCATTGCCCTCATCATTCTCAAAACATTTGCGCTCCACTTTAGCCCCTGGCATCGGATTCCTCATTTCCCCCCACCCTCCCAACTCCCCCCTCCCATCATGAACCCTTGATAATTTATAAATTTTTATTTGTCATATCTTACACTGCCCGATGTCTCCCTTCACCTATTTTTCTGTTGTCCGTCCCCCAGGGAGGAGGTTATATGTAGATCCTTGTAATCGGTTCCCCCTTTCTACCCCACCTTCCCCCCACCCTCCCTGTATCGCCACTCTCACTACTGGTCCTGATGATCATCCCCCCTGGATTCCCTGTGTTTCCAGTTCCTGTCTGCATCAGTGTATATCCTCTGGTCTAGGCAGATTTGTAACATAGAATTAGGATCATGATAGTGGGGCGAGGAAGCATTTAGGAAAGTTGTGTGTTTCATCATTGCTACATTGTACCCTGACTGGCTTGTGTCCTCCCTGTGACCCTTCTGTAAGGGATGCTCAATTGCCTACAAATGGGCTTTGGTTCTCCACCCCACACTCCCCCTCATCCACAATGATATGATTTTCTTCGCCACATTTGCTTATGCACCCATTTGTCTTCAGCGATTGTATTAGGGAGGTGAGCACACAATGATACGATTTTTTTGCTCGTTGATGCCTGATAACAGATCCCTTTGGCACCTCGTGGTCACACAGGCTGGTGTGCTTCTTCCATGTGGGCTTTGTTGCTTCTGAGCTGGATGGCCGCTTGTTTACCTTCAAGAGCTCGTTTCCCCTTCTCTGAAATACTCGAGACGCCATCCTACTAGTCGTGTTTTTGATAAATTCACCCTCTAACTTGTTTCACAAATGAAAGGTCAACTTCTGTCTGGCTCTTAAGGATTAACGACATTTGGCCAGACGTAAGCTGCTGGCGCTCCTACTTCAGTTTTATAGCCTATTCCATTTTTGTCTTTGTTTATGGTTTTAGACATCAGCTCTGATGAAAGTGAAAGCCTTTTCATGACTGTCTACTCCCATAAAGAGTTACGGTCTCGGAAACCCTCGGTGGCAGTCCTGCCCTGTCCTTCCCTGAGTTGGCATAGCCTAGATGTCGTGAGAAGCTTGAGGAGGGGGCGGTCGGTAGTGCTGGGGGTGCAGGGAGATGGTCGGGTGAGCGCCCACTCTGCGCAGACGCCTGAGTCTGAGGAACACACGCCTCTGGTTTCTTGAGATGCTTCTGTTTGCTGTTGTTTTTAAAGATCCGAGTACTGTTTTTACATATATATAATTGACAGGCTTTTTTTTTCTTCCCTTCGTATTCAGACTTAATCATTCCCAACTTCTCACCAAGTTTAATCTTCAGAATCTATAAATATGCACCATAATGAAGGGTGTGTTTTTGAGTAGGAAGATAATTACTCCTTCCTCTTGCAGTTTTAATTAAAAAGTACCTCTGCTGCCTGCCTCACCTTTGTTTCCAATCTCTGCATCAGCGACTGTTTCTGTGTACCCACTTGTTCCTGGTTCGGAAAAGAGTCCTTGTTCTTCTCATTGTAATTATAAAGTTAGAGACATCTATGTGGGGGTGTCCTTTTTGAGACGTTCCTGTAGGGCATGATCAGGGAGGGGCTTGCCCCATGGTATAACCTAGGAGGGGATCCATCAGTGTGATAAAGGCTGTGTGATAAAGTCTCTGTGGTCAGTCTTGCACTACCTCTGTTCCCCATCTACCTTCGCATGGTTGAAGCCCAGCTCCAGTACACAGAAGACTGGATTGCGCTGTCATTTATAGGAATACCAGAGGAAGGAGAGCTAAAGCCTATTTAGAAGAGGCAGGAGCTGGTCTCTCTGGCTTCGCCCTCTCCTTTCCAGAATGATCCTGCTGTGTGTGTGCAGCCACCAAAATGGCTTCTGAACCATTTTCCCCAGACCCGATTCCTTCCTGTCCTGGTCCATACTCTGAATTTGTCTGAATAACCTTGAAGTCTAACTCTTCTCCTGTCCCCTGCCCAACAGTCTTCAGCACCTGCCCAGTAGCTTGGGGACCTGCTGGAACACCGGCACCTGGTATTGTCTCTTCCTGTCTTTTAGTCGGCTACTCACTCCTCAGCTTGTTTTTATTGAGTCTTGCTTTGTGCCAGGTCACAGTGATAACCAAACACCGGTCCTTGCTTGCCCTTAGGGTAGAACACTGTGGAAGTAAAAACAAAATTTGATTGATATTCTTTCCAACTCATTTAGCCAGCGTGTTACCATTTCAACAAGGCACCTGCCCCATTTTAAGTGCTCCATAGAGGTGTGTGGCTAGTAGCTATGTACTCCTGGACAGCATAGGTCCAGAGCCAGAGTGGGACAGGAAGGCGTAGTTCAGTGTAGGTGATTAGCCCTGGATTCAGTTTTTCACTAGAATAATTTTGCGTTTAGGAGATTAACTTTTGCTAGATTACATCAGCTTGAACGGAAGCATGGGGATTGCTTTGCCTGTGCTCTCTACTGTATCTTTTAGCTCCATCGAAGGTCAAGAATGGATGAGACATCACCCTCCACAGAAACAAGAGTTAATTCTCTGTGAGAATTGTTGACTTGCTTAGTACCCACCGGTTCTTACCTGTCCTTTTACATTTACCTACCCTTCTACCCTCCTACATCTCTTACCATTTTGCCGATTTAACCTTGTCAACCCCAGTCACCTCTGGTTCTAGCATCCAGTAAAATAGTGCTACCTCCAAGCAGGACTTTCGGTGCTGCTCTTGAAGATGGATTCAAGAGGGGACTCGGAAGGCTGGAAACCCATTATCTAATCTAGGTCTTTGACGTTTTGTGCTCTCTTTCCGGCGATCGACTGCTGGCAGTGATTGTTTTTAAGGACTCAAAATGGGCAATCAAGGTCGTTAGGTGCTATCCTGTGCTCCCTGTGCCTGACAGCACTGCAGTGTCCGGTCCTGCGCCATCCTCACAGTGGTGACGTTTGAGTTTCTCGCAGAGCCACTGTGGCAGGCCGTCTTGCTGAGGCTGCCTTCTTTTTTATTAACCTTCTGTTTGACAGAGCATGATGAGCTTCTCCAAGGACTGGGCTCGCCATGGTGTGTTAGATGACGTCTCGCCGGTTTCACGTCTGCAGGAGCATGCTGGCTGTACTTCTTGAACACGGATTTGTTGGTTCTTCTGGTAGTCCATGGTGCTTTCTGTATTCTTCAGCAACACAGTACTTCAAAGGCACGAGCTCTTTCCCCGTCTCCCTTATCCATCCTCCAGCTCTCACTTGTGTATGAAGGAATTGAACAGACCACGGCTGGGGTCGGGCACACCTTAGTCCTTACAGCGACACCTTTGCTCTTGAACACGTCAGAAGTCTTGTGCAGCAGATTGGACCAGTACCATCTGTCATTGATTCCTTGACTACTGCTTCCATGAATGTGGATGTGCACTCAAGTGTTGGGCTGCTACCTGCAAGGTTAGCTGTTCAAAACCACCACCTGCTCTGCAGGAGAGAGAGGATGCTTTCTACTCCCATAAAGAGTTACAGTCTCAGAAATGCACGAGGGCAGTTCGACCCCGGCCTGTAGAGTCCCTGTGAGTTGGCTCTGACATGATGGTGGTTAGGTTTTGGTGCTGACAGTTTCTGTCTTAGTAGTTAGTGTATTGAGGTAGGAACTTCCTTAGCAGTTTCCCAAGATCTTTTACAGTAATCTTGAGCTATGGATATAAGCTACCCACACTTCACACGCCCACCCCAAGCACACCAACTAAAAGTTAGCACGCATTGCTCTTCTCCGTTATGTTGAATGTTGCTGGAAAAGTGTCCTCCCTGTATCATTATGAAAACTTCATAGCATTACCTGTGTGGGTGCTGCCGGGACCCCCTGTCTTGGTTGAGTCTGATCCCCTCCCTCAGTTGTATACAAAAAACAAAACCCAGTCATAAACATGGCGGCTTGAACTCTTCAGCATAAGCTTTGAAGGGTGCTCGTTATACACATCGGGCATTCATTATCTTTTTTTTTTCATTTAATAAACTTTATTCTTGTCAGGGGGAGAGGGAGGAGGAAAAGCCACCGACTCCACTCCTCCTAATAAATTAAACAGCACACAGCCAATTCCCGTGCCCCAAGCAAACCTTGGGCACTTGAGCCAGTCCCGCGGTTTCTGTGCGGCCCAGTCTGCTTCCCCTTCACAGAAGGGACTTTTCTGTACTGCTGCCTGCCGGGGTCATGACCACGGGCCATCATTCATTATCTTACCAGATATCCTAGCGATGTCTCAGTTTGGCCAATCAACTAGAGAAGTTTAATTCTAGTGTACTAATCGCAGTCACTATCACACGAATACCGTAGTTGTGCTCGGGTCTTGCCACCTCCCCGTGGTCACTCCTCTTCTGACTGGCAGCCCTTGTTCTCTATCAGGAACGTGTGCAGCTACTGTGGGCAGGCCGGCCGGCCATGGAGTCCGGCTGCCATGGCAGGAGAACCAGGGCCTGGTCGAAGTAGAATTAGCTCATGTGACGAGTCTCTCAGCAGAAGGTGACCGTTCAGCAGGTCCTGTCGGCAGGAGGAGGGTCACATGCTTCAGCTGATGGAGACCGGCAAGAGGTGGTGTGGGAACCAGCTGAGCTCTTCTGCTCTGTGCAGTTGGGCACACAGAATAGCCCCACGGTTGCCTGGTCGTCATGTGCTGTACTGTGGTTGTGATGGTGTGACAGCTAACGTATGTTTTGACGAATCCATTCTCTCTTGTAGGCCTTGGATGTGGACCGCACAGTTCTTAACAAGATGAAGAAATCTGTGAAAGCAATAAACATCTCCGGGCTGGGTGAGTACACTTCCCTTCCCAGAAGCTTCTTGGTGGAAAGCGTTTCATTTGAAGTCCGTCACCTGCATCAGCATTAATCAGAAATAAGCCAGTGTACTCTGAGCGAACCGTAGCGGCCAGTCAGGAGGTTCCTTTTAAGAAGTGTGGCTTGGGGGTTGGTTTTGCTGATGGTCTAGTTCCGGAGTGGGATGCCATCACCTTACTCTTCTGCTGGTCTCACCACGATCCCTGCTCTGCCAGCACAGCTGCGCTTCCTTCCCACGACGGTCCCCGGGAACCTGCTCTGATAAGGACGTTCTTGCCGCAGTTGTTTGGTTTGTGCTGTTTGTTAATCCTATCTGACTGTTCTTTCCATTTCGGCCGTAGCCATCGAGTTATTGCCTGCTTGGTGCACGAAGAAAATGAGTGGAACAGCACAACAATGAGTCAAAGTAATGCTCTTGTTTTAGGTGCGCTAATATGTTTAAATTTTAAAAAGGGCAACTTTTGGTTTAAAGAAGGCAAGCTGCTGAAGCTACAGCTCAAGGAGAGGGATGTGCCTGATCAGAGCACATGGGAGCAAAGGAGGGGGGAGGGAAAAAGAGTGAAGCACATCCTGGCCCACCAAGCCCTGAGGACAATATTTCTGCTCAGAGTAGCCAATGCATTAGAGAGGACCATAGGGCTAGCCCCACCACGAGACACAATGTTCCTCACTGACCCATAGCACCACAGAAGACAACACTGGAGAACCACGGTGGAAATTGCGCCTCCCAGACCCCACCACACTGAGGCAAGACGCTGGGGGCGTGCAACAGAGAGCATCAAGGGAAGCAGAGCAATGAAGTCCCCAGGGAACACCAAAAATAGACTGTGGGGCCAGGGCGTGGCACCCCATCAGACTTGACTGGAAAACACTTGTAAAGGACAACAAATAGACCTTGAGTTATTTATAGGCTTCTTTTTTTTTTTGGTTGTTGCCTTTTTGTTGTTGTTGGAGCTATTGTTTTATTTTCTATTGTTGCTTTGTTGTGCTTGGCCCTGTGTTTGTGCATATTGTCATCTTTGTATGTCTATCTAGATAAGATAGGCAGAATAAATCAGCCGGAGGAGAAAACGGTTCTGGGGCCACATGGGAGAGGGGGAGGAAGGGGAAAGGAGGTGGGTGTTAACAAATCCAGGGACAAGGGAGCAACAAGTGACCGAAAATCAATGGCGAGAAGGGTGTAGGAGGCCTGGTAGGGCTTGATCAAGGGCAATGTAACCAAGAGGAATTACTGAAACCCAAATGAAGGCTGAACATGATAGTAAGACAAGAGAAAAGTAAAAGGAAATAGAGGAAAGAATTAGGAGGCAAAGGGCATTTATAGAGGTCTAAATATAGGCATGTACATACGTAAATACATTTATATATGACAATGGGGAAATAGATCTTCGTGCATATATTTATAGGTTTAGTATTAAGGTCGCAGATAGACATTGGGCCTCTACTCAAGTACTCCCTCAATGCAAGAACACTTTATTCTATGAAACTGGCTTTCCATTATGCTCATCTTCCCAACACGATTGCTGAAGACAAAATGGGTGCATAAGCAAATGTGAAGAAAGCTGATGGTGCCCGGCTATCAAAAGATATAGCATCTGGGGTCTTAAAGGCTTGAAGATAAACAAGCTGCCATCTAGCTCAGAAGCAACAAAGCCCACATGGAAGAAGCACACCAGCCTGTGTGATCATGAGGTGTTGATGGGATCAGGTATCAGGCATCAAAGATCCAGAGCAAAAAAATCATAATGTGGATAACAGGGAGCGCAGAGTGTAGGCTCAAAGCCCATCTGTAAGCAATTGGACAACCCCTTACTGAAGGGTCGTGGAGAGAAGACGGGCCAGTCAGAGTGCAGTATAGCACCAATGAAACATAAAGCTTTCCTCTGGTTCTTTAATGCTTCCTCCCCGCAACTATCATGACCCTAATTCTACCTTACCAATCTGGCTAGACCAGAGCATGTACATGGGTACAGATAAGAGCTGGAAACACAGGGAATCCAGGACAGATAAGCTCCTTGGGACCAATATTGAGAGTAGCCATACCAGAAGGGTAAGGGGAAAGTAGGGGGAGAAAGGGGGAACCAATCACAATGATCTACATATAACCCCCTCCCAGGGGGATGGACAGCAGACAAGGGGGTAAAGGGAGACAGTGAACAGTGCAAGACATGAGAAAATAATAACAATTTATCAAGGGTTCATGAGGGAGGGGGCTAAATGAGCTGATACCAAGGGCTCAAGTAGAAAATGCTTTGAAAACAATGATGGCAACGTATGTATTAAAGTGCTTGACACAATGGATGTATGTATATAGATTGTGATAAGAGTTGTATGAGCCCTCTAATTAAAAAAAAAGGCAGGTTGTGCATCTGTGACGGACTAGAAACCTTAGAAGTGACAAACATTTAAAAATAACCATTGAGTGACTGTAAAAAAAAAAAAAAGTTTGGGCATGGCGTCATTCCCCCTTGTGACCTGACAGGAGGTGAGAGAATCACCGTGTCAGCATCAGCTGCCCAAAGCTGGCTCTGGGAAGCAAAAGTCAGACCTGCCTCCACTCTCCCACCTGCCTCCACTCTCCCACCAGCTCTGACACCCACTTCTCAGCTGGGGCAGGTACGATTGTGGGGGTCCGTTAGGGAATTTACTAGGTTACAGTGAGGGCTCAGAAATGTTCGGGAGGCAGTTTTTTAACAAGACAGTCTCTTCTCCACTGTGCCCACAGGCCCCTCTCCTTTTGGTACTCGACCTCTCAGCCACATGGCCCATTGACCTCTGCCCTGCTCAGGGAATGTCTTGGAGCTCTTGTGCTCTTGATACATGCCCAATGGGCATGCCACTCTGTCAAAAGCTTCCCCCCAAAGGCTCTTTGCTCTGTAGGTCAGCAGACCCAGCACCCAAGTCTTCAAATCAGTGTCTTGTCTGAAGGCACTCGCCTTGCTCCATCCCCGTGCCCTTCCCTGGCTCCTGCCCCTGCTGTGGGCACTTCTCTGCAAAACCCAAACCCACCTCACTGCCGTCGAGTCCATGCTCGTTCATAGCGGCCCCATAGCACAGGGCACAACAGCCCCTGGGGTTCCAAGACTCACTCTTTACGGGAGTGGAAAGTCTCATCTCTCTCTGGTGGTCTTCAATTGCCGACCTCATGGTTAGCACTGTGCCGTGCTTCTCTGCAAGTTCTCTGCTAAGCTTTCTGTCTGTGGATCAAGGAAGTTCAATACAGAGGAATCTGGGGATCCAGAGGACACGCTCCACTCCTGGCTTGTTCTTCTGGATGGTGGGGAGATTCCCTTCTGTGGTAGCTGTATAGTCATTGTTCAATTCGAAAGAATTGGGAGTGAAGGGGTGGAGTCTAGCCTGTGAATCAGGTCATAGCCAATGAGGCCTCGGTGTGGGCCTGATCTTCTCCTGAGGATTCTGGGAACTCTTCCTTGGAGTCGGGAGACACACACTCTCAGGTTCACTCCCTGCAAGACATTTCTGACGAGAAGCCACATGAAGCTACCCTGATGCAGCCAGAGCCCTGGGAGCTGGAGAAGCCACGTGGAGACCCACGTCAGCTCTGAGATGCTTACAACACCACAGGCTCCACAAGACTTCCCACCCACTGGCCTGTGATCTTCCTGCATTGGGCGTCATCGCTTGTGTTTTGTGAGTCTGAAGAGGACTTTATGGATTGGACAGATGGGCTAATATCGGACTTATGGACTTGATGTGGACTGGGCTGGGATGTTTTCTCAATATCCAATTGATCTTATATATAAAGCTCTTTCCTCTACACAAATGAGTGTCTATAAATTTGCTTCTCTAGTCAACCCTGACTAACACACCTCCCTTCCTGCTTCTGAGATGGTTCCTTTTATATTCATCAGGATGGCAATTATAATGAACCTTAACAATCAGTCAGTTGCAACTGAATCATATAATCTCTCAGCACCTTTCTCCACCTTCTCTTCCCTAGGCCTATGAGGAAGAGATCCTTTGGTGGGAGTTACAAAGACGATGGCTAACAGCACCGTCTTAAATAATGTCCTGCGCTGTGCTGACTAAAGGGTTTCATTGAAGAGAGAGTGAGCGCCTGAGGATTTTGCCCCTCGGTCAGTTGGCAAGGCTGGGGGCATTTTGGGTTGTCCTGCCTGAAGGTTAGTTACTGCATCTGACCAGTTGAGTCCACAGATGCTTCTAAACTTCCCACGCTGCACAGCACAGCCCCCAGCGAAGAAATATGTGGCCCAAAATAGCAGTAGTGCTGTGCCTGAAAAACCGTCATTCAGAAGTCTCTCAGAGTCCTCTACAAAGACAGCAACAGCCCGAACACACTCGCGTGCTGAGCTCTCCCGACAAGACTGGTTGGCTGGTTACCTAGAAACTGCTCTGTTTGTGGAAGAAGGAAGTAGAATTGCTTCTCTGTAATAAGAGAGACTAGGAAGAAAGGTGTGGTAGTCTACATCTGCAAAATCCAGTGGTGAAAGCCCTCCCCTGTGCCAGTGGTCTCCACAGGCCACTCGATCGTGCCCGGCTCTCATGAGTTACGGGCTGAAAGCAGCTAAGGACAGCAGTAACAAGACAACATGTGGAGAAAGCCCTAGTTCCACCTTCAGTCAGCAAAGCTCTCTCCGCTCAGTGCAGAGCTGAGATTTGCCGAAACCGTTGGGATGTACAAGCAAACGATCGGCCTGTCCTTAGCTCTTCTCCCAGATGACTTGAAGGGCGGAGTTGGGGGAGTTTTGTTTTTGAACAGTCTCTGTCTGCTTTCTGTACATTATCCTGATCTTACCGAAGAATCCTCATTACACAAATGTGGAACTGAGAATCCGAGTGCAAGGATTTCTAGTAAGTCGATTTTGACTGATAGTGACAGGGTTCTGAAGCTGTCTGTCTGTATGGGAGCAGATAGCTCTGTCTTTCTCACATGAAGCGTGGCTGTCCAATGCTTACCGACAATGCCACCAGGGCTCCCAGGATTACAACCAGC